GAGAGCGCCCTCCACATGAAGCAAACCCAACCATGCAGAATCCTCTCGATGGTCCGCACAGTCACATCAATGAACCGACACTTCACAGGAAGTCATCAATGGAAGCCGCCATTCCTCTCACTACAGTGACCCGTCTCCATGGATACCGCCCCATTATGACATCACCACCACAGTATACTGCAACAGGATCATCATACAGAAAATCCCCCGTTATCATTGAAAAGGTAACCTTGGGCTCCTGTCAGTGACTTTGCCTGGACTGGGATGATGTCATCAGACTGCTGCAGTCAGGAGGCAGCATGTCCTCTCCCCTCCCCCCAGTGACCAGTCTGCTGCAGGCAGGAGTAAGCATTTCCTCAGTCTCCCCTCCCCCAGTAAACAGGATGGCAGATAGCAAAGAGGAGAGATGCATTAATAGGCACCAGAGTCAGGGCTGGGGGTGGCTGAGGCATAAGGGACTGGTATCATGGTTTAAGGGGAAGGCACGAATCACCAAAGAGTTAGGAATAAGGGTAGAGGCACCAGAGTCAGGACCAAGAGGGGGAGGAACGAAGCTCAAAGAAAAGTTATTAAGAGGTATGAGGCACAAGTGAGCTCACCTCTCTCGGTCTGGGTAATGGCGGCTCCTCTCAGTCTCTCTCTGTCTGCGACTGCGTTTCGGTCACAGCCCGGGATCCTAAGAAGTCATTAAGCCGGCAAGTGACGTCACTGGGCGGAGCACAGAGTGACCTTGTCGGGGCCGTTCTCGACAGAACACCGGGCCAGGAACGGGCCGGGAGCGCGCACAGTGCACGGAGAACCCTGTCCGCACAGCGGGAATCAGAGGTGGTGGATCCCCGGGGCTCGTTCACTGACACTAAGGGAACTAAGGGCCCTATTGCTCTGGGACTACATTTCCCATGATGTCCTAGGCCATGATGTAATTTGTATAGCGTCTTGTCCTTGATTGGAGGAGATGCGGGAATGGGCGTAGCCGTGGGGCTTGTCAGAACGGTGCCCATATATGGAAAGTGCGTGGCTGAAGTGACTCCGTGTAGTTACCTGGGTACCAGAGCTTGTACGTGGGAGAACCAGACACGCCCACCTGTAATCTGAGCTGTTGTCGTGGCCCCGCCCTCTACCTGAGGGCGCGCACCTAAAAATTGTCCTGTGGCCGCATTCTCCTTTGCAAGAGACAAGGCTCCTGACAGATGGACCCTGACAACACCAGACTTCTTATATGTCAGTGGCGTCACAAGGGGAGTGCGGCCCGCACCCGGGTGACTCCGCCCCCTGGCCCCCCCCCGCCGGCCCTGACACCCCACATTGCTCTATATATCCCCCGACGCCCCAATCCTCTATATATCCCTGACACCCCACATTTCCCTCTATGGGTCAGTAGTCACCCACCTTCCTGTCTTTTCCTCAGGTTTCCCTTCTATCTCCAGGTTGTTGCCCCCCTAGGTGTGTGGGGACGATACCTGTAATGTATGCTGCCTCCTCTACCTCCTTCCTCAGGCCGGTGCTAATGTTTCCGGACAGGGCCGCACTGGATGTGTCTCTTTGTTATCGTCTGTTAGGTGCAGAGGGCCTCTACCTTCTCCAATCTGCTTTAAACCCCAAGTCCTTGAACCCTCTTCCCTTCCCCGCTACCCTCCAATAATATAAAAAGAAGAAAACACTCCCTAAAAGTCTTTTTAGTTACCTGAAACTCCTGTTGTGTGACTCCAGCTCCATAAAGACATGGTGTGACCAGTTTGGTGTGGAGGAACTTAAATGTCATGGTCTACTCATCCAACATTAGTACCTGGCCTCACAAATGGGCACAAATTCCCACAGACACCCTTCAGCTCCATAAACACATGGTGTGACCAGTCTGGTGGAGGAACTTGAGTGTCCTGCACAGAGCCATGACCTCAGCCCTACTGAACACCTCTGGGATGAACTGGAGAGCTAATTGTGAGTGAGGTCTTCTCATCCAACATCAGCACCTTACCTCAGAAATAGGCACAAATTGCCACAGACACCCTCCAAACTGTAATGGAAAGCCTTCCCAGAAGAGTCGTAGATGTTGTTGCCCTAAAAGGGGTCAACAAAGCCAGCTCCATAAAGACATGGTGGACCAGTTTGGTGCGGAGGAACTTGAGTGTCCTACACAGAGCCCTGACCTCAACCCTACTGAACACTTGGGATGAACTGCAACGCTGTTTGTGATCCAGGTCTTCTCATCCAAAGTCTTGTGGGAAGCCTTCCTGGAAGAGTAGAGTCCGCTGCAGCCACAAAGGGAGACCAACTCCATATAAATGTCCATGGTTGTGAAACGGGATGGCCAATAAGCACATATAGGTGTGATGGTCCGTTGTCCACCAGCCTTTGTGCAGCTAATGTATATCTTATATTTAATAAAGTTCTGACATGTTCCACTCATTACAGAGAAAGGTCCATTATTCTGGAGTCTGGGTCTAAGGGGAACCCATGATGTCTCCACTGTGGTCATAACATTGGGAGTTGGACTGGAACACTCCAGAGGAAGCTGGAAGGGAACAGAGGAGGACATACCGGGGGGAATTTATCAAAACTGGGGCAGACAAAGTCTGGAGCAGCTGTGCATGGCAACCAATCAGCTTCTCTCTAACAAACTGAAGAGAGTAGCTGATTGGTCGCCATAGGCAACTGCTCCAGATTTGTCTGCTCCAGTTTTGATAAATTCCCCCCACCATCTCTATACCCATTTAGACTCAATACACATTGAACCTGCTCACCATTCAGCCGCTGCGTCACTGCACGCCTGGCAGCTAAAAATAGAGGGTCAGGGGACAGAATGCGCTTCACTGTGAAGTTACGAGGGGCCCTTTGAAGAAGTCAAATAACTGGAAGTTGCATGTTTGAGAAGCCTGTGGTGGAAGCTACCAACTCCCTGCCTGTACGTGACCACCCCCTCCTGATGATACTGAATGAACAGGTCTGAGCAGACGGATCTGATCTACACAAGGAAACAATTATCTGTATTCACCTTTATTCTAGATACAATGGTGTCTCTGCTGACTCACAATTAGGTGTAGGCCACCTCAGCACTCCAGCAGTGCCGAGACTACAAATATGTCTCTGGGAGTCATCAATTTAAAGTTGACCACGAATAACGGCCCAAGGATTATTTCCCTCACTCTGGCGTGTAATGTGGTGTAAACATTGATTTCATATGTATGTGTGTATGCCCAGCTGCGTGAGTGACAGCTGGCTCTGCCTATCTAGAGGCAGAGCCAGCTGTACCCGCCCCCTACCACGTCCGTTCAGCCAGTCAGCGCTGGCGGAGCGGGGAGGGGGGAACCCAGCCCCACCTCTGTCACGGCAGAGAGCCGTGACAGGATCGAGAGGTGAGCGAACACCCGTATGTGTTCGCTCACCTCCCGATCTACTGAGCCGACCTGTGACAGTCTCATTGTCACAGGTCGGCTTAGAACTATGAGGTGAGTGAAAAGCACCCCCCTCATAGTTCTCCTTTAACATGATTGCTATCACCTAGGGGCCCCAATTCTATTGAATTCCTATTGGGTAGACGCAGAGTTGAAGAGCTGGGCCTGATGATCTTCAGATCGTAGATACACAGTCCTACATGAGGCCCCAATTGAATTCAGCAGCACTCTATAAAAGCAGGGGCCTTCCCAAAGGAGGGGGGGTCACCTTTTCTTCAAGCGAAAACCCGAACACTCTAGCGACGTGCTGACATTTTTTTTGGGGGGGAGAATGAGTCGCGGCTTATTCATATGTAAATAGAGCCACCCATTTTTATGTCAATATCACAGTTGAGACTATTTTCTAGGGATGCACCGATACCGATACTAGTATCGACATCAGTTCCGATTCCGAGTATTTGTGTGAGTACTCGGGAAGCGGCTCCATGCTCTCTCGTCACTTGTGATGAGAGAGCATGGAGCCGACTTCCCGGCCAATCAGGAAGCCGGGCAGAGTGTAATGACTCGCTGCCCGGTTTCTTGATTGGTCGGGAAGCTGGCCAATCAGGAAGCTGGCCTCGTGAGGTAAGGTTACCTCACCTTAGTAGGTGCAGCCCGTCACCCCTGGGGCCTCTCCAGCGAGAACGCGGCCTTCCTCCGGTACCCAGCCAGAGCCGCCTGGCCGGCCAATCAGGAAGCTGGCTTCATGCTCCCTCGTCATCTCATGATCGAGAAGCCGGGTGGCGAGTCATTACACGCTGCCCGGCTTCCCGGCTCATTAGGAAGCCAGGTGGCGAGTCATTACACGCCACCTGGCTACCTGAATGGGACTTCTGTTATTCGGTAATTAGTATCGGCAAGTACCGATAAAAAATTATTGGTACTCGTACTCGGTACCAAAATACCGGTATCGGTGCATCCCTACTATTTTCAGTGGGGGGCCAGTAGCCCTTATCTTCATTTTAGTTGCCCCTGTCTGCCTGACATCATGTGTCCGATTTTCTGGCCATGAAACCCGAACACAGCATTCAAAACCCAGACTGTCCGGGTGAATCCTGGACAGGTGGCAACCCTAGGGTCACCCCAATTGAGGAATCCATGTGGAGTTGAAGCAGAAAGGGCACCAAACACAAATATCAAGAGTCCAAAAAATGCATTTTATTAATCCACTGATATCACCATGGTAACAAAAACAACCAATGCGTTTTGTGGGCAAACCAACCCCCCTACGTCAGGGCTTTGACAACAATATCATAGATCTCGGACTCTGGGCCACTTGATCTTTCTGGTTCATCTACACGTGGATAACTCTTTTTGGAGCTCATAAGTGTAATTGAAGGGCCATAATAAACCTTGATTGCTGCGCTATAAACGTTTATTGCATACGGGAGGATTATGACGTCACTGGAAATGAGGCCATAGGCGATGTACTTCTTATAATGTTACGCTTTATTTGAACTGCCGGTGCCAGACTTCTTTGCTGCTGGTATATGAGGAGCTCAGGAGTTGCAACCAAATTTCAGTGCCCTCTGACCCACGGTGTATAAAGAAAATAAAGCACAATGACTGTGAATAGGAGGGAAACAAAGGAAAAAGCACTTTTCAGACGTGGCGGCACACTTAAAGGGTAATTCCACAATTCTGTTCTATATTACACCCATATGTAGGGTCACAGTCTGCAGCCAATCCCCCCCAAACCGCTATCCCCACCTTACCTGAATCATGGGGGACGCTACATTGACCTCCAATGTAAGGGGGACTCTACACCAACCACCAATGTAAGGGGAAATAGTACATTGACTACCAATGTAAGAGGACTTTACACCAACCACCATTGTACGGGGATGCTACATAGACCACCAATGTAAGGGGGGACTCTGACCACAAATGTAAGGGGGGACTCTGACCACAAATGTAAGACACTGACCACCAATGTAAGGGGGGACTCTACACTGACCACCAATGTAAGGGGGGACTCTACACTGACCACCAATGTAAGGGGGATTCTACACTGACCACCAATGTGAGGGGGAATCCTAAACTGACCACCAATGTGAGGGGGAATCCTACACTGACCTGACCACCAATGTGAGGGGGAATCCTACACTGACCACCAACATAAGGGTGGATTATACACTGACCACCAATGTAAGGGGGAATCCTACACTAGCCACCAATATAAGGGGCTTCTACAC